TCTCGACATCGATGTCGGGATCCGCTCCGGCTGCGGCGTCTTAGTATACCATGAGCTGTAGCTCGCGGTATACAGAGCTTAGGGTAACGGGAGGACGCTAGATTGTGTCCTCCCGTTACCCTAAGGAGAACTATGGGGAAAAGCCCTGACCCCATGTTAATGTTAGCACTTACCTCAAATGATGTCTCTTATTCCGATCTTCTTCTTTCCCCATCAGTCCCTCCAGCGGTGCGGCGGCTCTCCGATCCAGCGGTGTCTGCATGCGGCTGCACGCGTCCATACACTTACCTTGCGTCTCTGCTCTCCCGGCCCAGAATCCGAACTGCGCATGCACCCACCCCAAGATGCTCTGCGGCCGCCCGAACAGTTTCGTTTTCTCGGGCGGGAGCGCGCAAAGAAAAAAAGGTAAGTTTAAACCGCTGTTTTAGCTGTTTTTTTTTTTAAAGTGTTTGCCTATATCTGCTGCTTGATAGCAGTAGATATAGGCAAAAAAACAGGAGGCTTTAGAACCCCTTTAACACGGGATTGTAGGCAAAATAAACCCTCTGTTGGTAAGATCTTTGTGCCGAGTTCCTGGGTCTGTACACCTGCTGAGCCCATTATGAAGAGCTCCCTCCATCCCCATGCTGAGTTCCTGGGTCTGTACATCTGCTGTGCCCATTATGAGGGGCCCCCACCATCCCTGTGCTGAGTTCCCGGGTCTGTACATCTGCTGTGCCCATTATGAGGCGCTCCCACCATCCCTGAGCTGAGTTCCCGGGTCTGTACACCTGCTGTGCTCATTATGAGGCCAACCCACCATCCCTGTGCTGAGTTCCCGGGTCTGTACATCTGCTGTGCCCATTATGAGGCGCTCCCACCATCCCTGTGCTGAGTTCCCGAGTCTGTACACATGCTGTGTCCATTGTGAGGAGCTCCCACCATCCCTGTGCTGAGGTCCCGGGTCTGTACACCCGCTGTGCCCATTATGAGGGGCTCCCACCATCCCTGTGCTGAGTTCCACGGTCTGTACACCTGCTGTGCCCATTATGAGGGGTCCCCACCATCCCCATATCTGTACAACTGCTGTGCCCATTGTGTGATGCTCACACCATCCCTGCTGGATTTTTACAGACAGTAATCTGACATCCATATGAAAAATTAGACTATAACTCTTAGCATGGAGCTTAAAAATGAGGGAGGTGAGAACTGTGGGAGGATAAACAGACACGGAGGTCTTCAGATTTCTAAGAACCCTGCTTTTTTGTTTAGGAATGGGGCTTGCCTTCAGGTTTCTGAAAGACCTGCTTTTAAGGGCTGGAGTTCTGTATTCAAAATTCTGAGAGCTCCGGGTGGGGCCTGCCTTTGGATTTTGGAGTGCCCTGTTTTCCAGGAGTAAGAGCAGTCTTCAGATTTCTAGGTGGGGCTGTAATTAGATGTGTTAGCACCCCAACTTCTTGGGGTGGGAACTCTCTTTAGATTTCAGAGTGCCCTGGTTTCTGATAGAGTCTGTCTTTAAAACTCTGAGCCCCCCGCTTTTAGACATGGGGCTGTCTTCAGATTTATAAGAGCCTTGTTTTCTATGGGTGGGACCTGACTTTAGACATCCGAGTGCCCTGCTATAGAGGGGCAGGGACTGTCTTCAGATTTCTTTGCACTCCGATTTCTAGGAGTGGTGGCGGTCTTCAGATTTATGAGCACCCTCCTTTCAGGTTAAATTTAAAAAATATAAGCTAATAACATAATGGGGGGGGGGGGAGCTTGATACCCCCTAAATTTACTTCAGCCGAGGCCTCCCATGTATGTGTATGGCCTTTCTACAAATCTGCTGAAACACAAGTGCTTCCATGAATTACAAAAATGACTCCGCTGCCCACCCTGCACCCCAGCATTACCCCCGCTCAGCGTCAGGAAGAACAGCTCAATCTGTTGGCATTTGGGCAGCATCTTCATTAGATCGAAGTGGAATGGCACCTCCCGGATGCACAGGCCCGCACTCTCCCCGGGTTCTGGAAATAATGCAGACAAGATGATTACACACTGCAGCATTAAGGAATCTGACAAAGCTTTAGGTTCTATATATATACACACACACACACACACAGTATATGTGTGTAGCATTAATACAGATTTGCGCCAGTCATTTTAATCTTCCCACCTGTACGCTCTGCTTTAGTCAGGATTGGTGAGCCGCCATCTTTGTTCTGGCAAAGCTGTACAATGTACTCAAATGTTAGCATGATATTGATGCAGCTCTGATCCCTGGGAAACAGCTGCAAGAAAGAAAGTCTGTCATTGTCTGCAGTGGAAAGACATATCTTATCATGGAGTGCGTTTAAAGCAGTTGTAAATCCATATATGAATCCCATCTCGTAAAGATAAGGCACATCACCAGCTGTTCATTTAAAGAGCAAATGCTTTTTTTTAAATTTTACTTTCTTAGGTCACATGACTGCATTTCTTCTTTACAACTCAGGGCTGGTCTAAGCCTCAAAATGTCACTTGTCCTCGTGATGTCACTTCAGATGCTTGACTTACTGTGCCCTCCACTCTGCATGGCTGGGGAGGACGTCATGAAAAAGCTGAATGACATCTCTAACATATGTGACATGCTAAGGCTTATCCCAACTCTTGGCCCGGGCCATGATGAGCTGTGAAAAAAACAAAACACAGTCTCATAAACCCCCCACCAAAAAAAAAAGGGCCTTGTCTAGTAATGAAGGCACAGCTTTACTAGAAAAACTCAAGCATGTGCACAGTGGTGGCAATGCTGCAGAGGCTTTATGAATCTGCAGACCGTTGCTACTGAGAAGGGACTACCAGTGACTGGCAGGTTCAAGGTTAATTAATTAAATAAATGGCACAGACAGATTATAAAAATGATTAGAAAGATTTTAACATGGGGGTGCAACTAATTTAGGGCCGGTTCCCACTATCTGAGTCCGGGCTGCGATGGCCATTTATTCCAGCACAGCCTGAACACAAGACAATAGTCACTCGCACTCCATGATATTAAAGTCAATGCTGTTTATTGACTGAGATAACACAAATCTCCTTAGCTAAGGAGCTTGCTAAGGAGATGTGTGTTATCTCAATAAACAGCATTGACTTTAATATCATGGAGTGCGAGTGACTACTTTCTTCTATCTACATTTCATGGAGGCATCCGTTGTCACTACCGCACCCACCCAGTTGGATTTGGGGCTTTTTTTACCGGTCAGGAGTGCGATGGGACAGGAGGATTACATTTGAACACAAGACAAGGCTAATTGCCTCGTCATGGGTGGGCTTGGTTCACGCCAACATGTTCCGGTGGTGTGCACTTAAAACAGAACAGCATGCAGTCCGTTTTTTAAGTGCACCGCAGAGAGACGTGGTACAACTGCATCACACTTCTGTGAGCCCATAGAACTGAATGAAATGTCTCTCGTGAGACTTCAATAAAGTTCTGCAAAAAAAAAAAAAGAAAAGAAACAGTGCAATGCGGCTTGATCAAGCGGATCGGCACTGTTCGGGGACATGCACACCAGCAGCTGTGAGCTTGAGTGGGGCTGTTGGTGTGAATGTACCCTTAAAGTGGAAGAAATCATGTTCCTGGACAGATGGAAAGTAACTAAACAGACAAATTGGTACAATAGCCGCACTTGTACTATATTCAGCAATCCCACATGGTAGTAATGACTCCACTATCACGACGACAACATGAACAGTACCTGCCAGATCTCAGACCTCGTTGTCAAAGCCACCTCCTCTCCTGATCACATGACCATGAGGTCATGCAGTCTCTCGCCTTGTGACTTGCTACAGTTACAATGTTGCAGTCTGATCACTGAGGGAGAGAAGACTGAGGAAATGCTTCCTCCTGCCTGCAGCAGACTGATGACACCATCTTAGCCTAGACAAAGTCCCTGACTGGAGCTCAAGGATAGGTTTTAATGACAAAAGGTAGCACTTCTTTGGAATTTGCTGTTGCTGTATACTGTGACAAGGTAGGAAATGATTCAAAGAGGCTTGTAATCTAAAGGTGCCCATACACTTTACAACCATCGCAAGACCTTAGTCTTGCGATGGTTGTAAAGTAATACAGGCAGATCGTACTCTCGATCATCGCAAGCCCTCCCCCCTGAGGGGCTGGCTTCCAATTAACGCAATGCTAAACGGGCAGTATGCGCACACCAGCCCGTTCGGCATTTGTCTCCCGAGCACCGTTCAAACCAGCCGAAAATCGTACGATTCCCGGCTGGTTTTCTAGCGTGCTCACATGACAAAAGACGTGCGACCGTACAGTAAAAACGGTCGCACGTCTTCCATACACTTTGGGATTATCGTACGATTGCGGGATTTCCCGCGATTATCGTGCGATAATCGCACAGTGTATGGACACCTTTACTGAAAGGTCTACTTTAGGAAAACGTAAAACCAGGAAAGTGTTATAAATGAGAAAAAGCACATCGAGCAGCAAAATCATTGTTCACAGAGATGGGGATAATCCTGCCCAGGTTGGTTCTAGGTACTCACTGCTTGTGGAATCTCAGAGTACATAAGGCCATGCAGGTGCTTCCAGCTCTCGGATGTGCCCATCACGACTCCGCTCTGTGGCTCCACCCAGCACTCGGAGACTAGATGCAGCTCCGTGTCCTGTTCTATGGCTTCCACCTCGGTGTCGTTGTCCTCGTCTGTAGAGAAGCTGAGCAGCCACAGATAACAGGATTTTTGTACACGCCGTAAAATACACAGCTTGAGGGACACAGCTTGGTGAAAATTAGAAACCTGTTTTTGCTTAAGCTGGGAACATACAGATTTTTCTTCATTCGGCCTACAAGGCTGAACGACACAAATCCGAAAAGATTCCTCCACCCATGCTACCACAGTGTTGAGCGAATCACCCGCTGTGTACATTGTATAGTGACAACTGCAACTCCCTCTGTCACAAAACCCTTAGGCCTGGTTCACACCTGTACGTTTTGTAGCGCGTTCAACGCTCTACGAACGCTCTACATAACGCTCAAACATGAAAATCCCATTGTTTTCTATGGGTATGGTTCACACCTTGCCGTATTTCTGCCCGTCTGAACGTGCTACAAAACGGCTTACGCCTGAAAAGGTACAGGAGCTTCTTTGCGGCGTTTTTGTCTCGCGTTTCCATTGGGATACAGCCATGTAGCCCTCGGAAACGCGCGCTTGTCGTGCGGTTTTTTTTACCACGAATCGCGGTAAAAATGTGCGTCACGAAACGCGCGACAAACGCGCATATTCAATATGCCTAGGTGTGAACAGAGCCATAGAGTGCTGGCTGCTGTAAACTCAGCTTTACCGTCTATTCTCCTAAGGGCAGTAAAGCTGGCTTTACACTAATACAATTTCGAGAATTTACAATTTTAGAGAACACAAGGATATTTAATGAACTGGGTTACACTGTGCTCATTGGCTAACTGTAGAGCAGGGGGGCCCGTTAGGTAGATGGTGATCTAGCAGTAGCTCTCAAAGCTGATGCCGGTAGATCAGGAAGGGGGGGAATGGCGGCCCCTTTATTCCATTTTGGTATATTTATGTCGCTGTGCACACATGATTACCTATTACCCCGAATCTGCTGAGCCGAGCTCCCTGACACCTTTCTGGTGGATACTGGTGGTTGAAGTGCTATGTATTACATCAAAGAATATTAGTTTACACAGCCTGGTGCAAAATACAGCAAGGAGAGAGTGAGAGAGAGTGAGAGAGAGTGAGAGAGTGAGAGAGAGTGAGAGAGAGTGAGAGAGAGTGAGAAGACAGCCAGGGGAGAGAGAGCGAGGAGAGACAGCCAGGGGAGAGCCAGGGAGTTGTTGTTTTTTGTTGGTAGATCTCCTGTAGCTCGTCATTTGAAAAGTAGAACTCATCACAAACAATTGTGGCCACCCCTGCTGTAGAGACTTCCAGGATTTCAAATGCTCACCCTGACTCCACCAGTAGCTGTTTATCGTAAAAAAAAATTCCAATTCTAGCAGAACAAATGAAGAGACATCCATTCTCCTAATGACACTGGGGAAACCTAGATTGCCTAATTGTCATCAAGCGGTGTACCTCAATGAATAATATAGAATATAGAATGGTCAAAAAATTATTGAAGCCAGGGGCAGACGTGCACGCAGACACACACTAATAACTCACCTGTCCTTGGTGGAGGTGACATGCGGAGGAAAGAGAATGTACTGAATAATACAGCTGTGCTTCTCTATACTGCCCTCTCCTATACAATCGCTCTGCAGAGGAGACACGAGCACAGCGTCAGTGCACAGCTATCAGTGAGGAGTGTAACAGAGAGGAAGTGATGGACTCACCTGAATGGGAACCTCTAAGACCATGTTAATAATTCCTTCTCCGCTGGAGGCAAAATGGAACCCTTCTGATAGTCTTATCCTGCAGTGACAAGAACAACATGTCAATTTATAAAAAAAGGAGGGGAAAAAACGGGGGAGTTTAGAGCCCAATCCTGACTATGGCTACCAAAAAAAAAAAAATCAGATTAAAGCACTAAGTTCAATTAATGTTATTTTTGGCATGGAAACTTCCTACCCATCAAAAAACAGGGGTGGGCAAACTCCAGCCCTTCAGCTGTGGTGAAACTACATAGCCAATGATATATCTGTCTATGGGAGTCATGCCTGGGGCTGTGAGAATCTTGCAATCAATGCCTTTTGGGATTTGTAGTTCCCCACACGCTGGAGGGCCGGTTTGTCCACCCCTGCTCAAAACTCTATTGTTCGCAGGCATCACAGACACAGAGGAGCACCTATGCCTGTCTTCACATCTAAAATCAGTAAATTTATAACTAAAGGGTATCAATGGTGAAAACCACATGGCCACACTAACAGGGGGCACACTTACTCTGTAAGAGTGGAGAGGATCTGTGCCATAGCAGTGATAGGCACTGTGGTAGCCAGACCAGACTGCACAGACCAGATCCACCTCTGATGGTAGAAGTAGCGGGAGAGGGATGCCAGGGTGGAAGAGGCTGAGCGATTGGTAATGAGGGGTCCTGATACTGAAGTGTGCTGGGTAGGACTCTCCAGGTTCAGGATGAATGGTGTTCTGTAATCCAGAGGCATCTTGTCATACCTAAGAAAGAGAAGAATTATGTAAAACACCTTTAAGACATGTTACACACAGACATTCTTTCGAAAATTGCACCTGCGGTTCTGTTAGTTTAGATAAACTCTGGAGTCCCCTAAAAACACACTTGTGTTACTAAAATATATTAACTGGCTGCATAATTTATAGGCAAGCAAGTAGAGCAGGGGGGGTAGGCAACCCTGAAGAGGTGGCGATCTACCCAAACAACGTGGAAGAAACAAAGATCACCAGGGGGCAGCGAGAGAAAGAAAAACTAGCAAGGCCTCCAAAAAGTAAGGTTTAAAGAGTTCAGGGGTCAGGAGCAAGAAAAACAGAGCTCAAGGTCTAGGATATGCAGAGTGCAGAGGTCAGACGCATGTAACGCAGAGTTCAGTAGTATGCAATGCAGAGTACAGGGGTCAGGAGTAATGCAGAGTACAGGAGTCGGGAGTAATGCAGAGTACAGGAGTCGGGAGTAATGCAGAGTACAGGGGTCGGGAGTAATGCGGAGTACAGGGGTCGGGAGTAATGCGGAGTACAGGGGTCAGGGGCAAGTAATGCAGAGTCATTAGCATGTAACGCAAAGTAATGCAGAGTTCATAGGTCAGTGGTATGTAATACATAGTCCAGGAGTAAGTAATACAGAGTTCAGAAATAAGTAATACAAAGGCAGGGGTCAGTAGTACAGTAGAATCCCCCCCTCCCCCCACATAAAATGTACTCACCATACCTCAGATCCTGCTTCTGGCACAGTGAAAGAAAATCCTCCCGGGTATACCCTCAGCTGTGTCATATGACATAAGAGAGCAAAGAAGGAGCCTAAGGACTCCCCTCTGCTTTGGAATGCCTATTACAGTTCTAAGAGGGGGCAAAGGCAGTGTCAGGAACTGGCGGCACAACGGGGTCGGAGATCTACCCATCATAGGTCCACAATTGACATGTTGCTGACCCCCGACCTAGAGACACCTGCACATACTGTACCTTCAAACACTTTCACAAACCATTTAGGAGCCCCAAAACCCAGGGTATGCTCATAGCATTACGATGTGAACTTGACAGATGGCAGTGCTGAAATGGGTAGGCCCTATTGGACCACCAGTGTCTCAGCAGCCTCAATAACCAACAGGGAGGTGTAAAAGGGGGGGGGGGTTCGGTTATTAGGTTTATCAGCAAGTGTTAGAATTTGAATACTACATCGCCCTGATCTTGGGGCTTCCAAGGAGCTTATGAAGAAGGTGTGTGCAAATACTGCTAGGTGTCTGCATTTCATTTATATTGCCAGTTTAGACTGTTTCAGAAACTGACATGCGTACACCACATAAAGAACACGAAACATAAGTGTGCAATATTTATATTTACCTGACAAAAGTGTTCAGACCCCCAACCATAATAAATAAGCAACAAATACTACACATTCCTTAAGGCCTAGTTCACACCTAGGCGTTTTGCATATGCGCGTCTGTCGCGTTTTTTTTACCGCGATTCGCGGTAAAAAAATTGCGCGACAAACGCGCGTTTCCGAGGGCTACTTGGCTGTATCCCAATGGAAACGGCCCAAAGTAGTACATGTACCTTTTCAGGCGTGGGCCGTTTTGTAGCGCGTTAGGGACGGGCTGAAATACGCCAAGGTGTGAACCAGACCCATTGAAAACAATGGGATTTTCATGTTTGAGCGTTTTGTAGAGCGTTCGTCGAGCGTAGAACGCGCTACAAAACGTTCAGGTGTGAACGAGGGCTAAAGGAGAACTATGAGGGGGCGTGCTTTTCACTCACCTCATAGTTCTAGCCGACCTGTGACAATGAGACTCAGTAGATCGGGAAGTGAGCGAATACAAGCCGGTGTTCGCTCACTTCTCGATCCTGTCACGGCTCTCTGCCGTGACAGGGGAGGGATTCCCCCCTCTCGCTCCGATCCGCCAGCGCTGACTGGCGGAACGGATGGGGGAGGGGGCGGTTACAGCTGGCTCTGCCTCTAGATAGGCAGAGCCAGCTGTCACTCACGCAGCTGGGCGGATCTCGACATCGATGTCTGGATCCGCTCCGGCTGCGGCGTCTCAGTATACCGGGAGCTGTAGCTTGCGGTATACTGAGCCTAGGGTGACGGGAGGACGCTAGTTTGTGTCCTCCCATTACCCTAAGGAGAACTATGGGGAAAACCCCTGACCCAATAGTTCTCCTTTAAACACAAATACCAGATGCTTTCTATTCATTTTCTAATCTTTCTTCTTCATAGGATTGTTTTTAACACTCACTTAATGAGAAGCTTCTCCAGAGGCTTGTGCAGCAGAACGAGGCAGCAGCGGTCTGAGAAGGCCGGAGGTGGCACCTGTGGAGGAGGCGACTTGGAGGGCGAGCTGATTCCAAATATCTTCCTTTTCACCCGTGGGGTGCTGTCTTTACTCTGCACTCTGTAAGGGAATCGCAGTTGGAGGATGCGGTCCCTTAGCTCTTCCACCATCTGCAGGAGACAAGAAGGTAAAGGCAAAGATGAAAATAAAAGGAGGATTCTCACAACTGTAACTAAGCAGCAAACCAGAGTGCAGGAAACAAGATGGCAGCATTAAAGCCAAATTATTGATGAAGGATTACAAGTTCTAATTGTATAACCAATAGTAGTTAGTATGGCTGGAAGTAGTGTATGGCTGAAATCCAGTCTTGCACAGTTGTACCGACTCCTCTCCTGGACTGAAATGGCTTACTCTGATGTCACTGCACACTGGGAGCTTCTCACAATGTGCATTAGAAGCTGCAACAAGTCAGATAGAGCCCGTCTCATTTCCTGGCTGGAGGATGTCCAGCATCATCTATCCCTTTCACCTGACTCTCTCTCTCCCTTTCATTCATTGGTGTTCAGTTCTTTCAATCAGGGATGCCACATGTGGGAGTTACCTAGGGTACTCTGCATGCAAAGGCAGCCTTGCAACACTCAGTCCTCTAGGCTCACATCCACCCATCAAGTAATTAAAAAAAATTCTGCCTGTTTCGCATAGAGATCCAGTGATGACAAAAAAAAAAAAGAAGGGTTTTATTTAAAAATGTAATTAGTATGCTAATAAGGGGGACTAGAGAAAACAAAACATAAGCAGATCGTGCTTCAGCTTTAATGTTTTAGAAAGCCTTGTTTCCATGTCCAGAATCACTTTCACAAATATTGGAAGTATGTCAATTCTGGAAGTCCATAAAATTACTTTTACATACACATCACAATAATGGCTCTCACGGTGCACTGAGAAAACATCAAATCTCCCATTACAACAATGTCCAATGAAAATTCTTAAAGAGGAAGACTTTTGATCTAGTGGAGGATGATTGGGGAGACTTTGATTGTAGCTACATGTCATCTTGAAATTGATCCAAATGAAATTCTTCTACCAGGCATACTACACACCCGCTCTACTACATAGGCTCGGCCTCCGCCTGACCTCGCGTTGTTTTAAGCGCTGCGGGAGGGAGGCCGACTTCCTGCACTGCTTTTGGTCATGCCCTATCATTAGAGCCTATTGGTCAGAGGTCACTGCCTTTATGGAAAATGACCTCGGTTTCCCCAATATTTGCAACCCTGCGTTCTGCCTTCTGGGTCTATTTGGGGAACTGTCATTGGCCTCCAGAACTCGGACACTCCTCCGCCTTCTCTTATTCTATGCGAGAAAGACCATCCTACTGGTCTGGGGTAGCCCGACGGCTCCCTCCCTGGGTGAGTGGAAAAGACTAGTTGGATCAGGCATTGCCCATTTACAAACTCACGTATGAGCAGAGGGGTAACCCGGCACGTTTTGGCCGTATCTGGGACCCATGGCTGTCCTCCTCTAACACACATGTAGAGATGGGATAAATACTGCACACACTATCATTCTTAGTCTAGTCTTCTGGTTCTCTGAAATCCGGAATGTATCTTCTACTGGGTTGACTACATGTGGCTGTGTCACACTCCTTACGTTCCATACTCCCTGAGTTGGAGGGTGAATACCACGTATTCAATCTTTTAATCATATGTATGTGTAACCTGGTCATCTTATGACCGTATGATATGTGAGTAGATTCTGTATAACTGCATAATTGTCTGGGTTATGTTGACCCGTTGATGTATGTCTGTAGAGTGTTGTTATAATCATTATCGTGTCTATGACACTTGGAAACCTCAATAAGAAGTATCTTTAAAAAAAAAAAAAAGGAGGAAGACTTTTTTTTTTTTTGGAATTCACCTTATTTCTGCAATTTGCCGGAGTCCCCAGAGGAAATCCCAGCCGGAGGACCATGCACGGGGCTTTCCAGATTATTCGCACCACACAGAAGGATGAGGGCGTCTGACTAGCATCACTGAGAAAGTTAAGGGAGGACGTGATAAGGAAAGGCAGAGATCACGCTGATCGTATAACAGAAGACAAGCTCATTTGATGACATTACCTCAACATTAACTTGACATAGGAGTAACTCTCCACTAGCACAAAGCTGCTCCAGTCCCGCAGGAGAGACGTGAGGGCCGTGTGAGAGATGCGACACTGAACTGTGCTGTACCGCCCGTTGTTCCCTGGGGTATGGAGGTGCTTCGGGAGAGGCCTGAGGGGTTTATAAGAGAGGTCACTGTACCAGAATCCTTTGCAGCACTGAAAGATTTATCCATTACAAACACCCATTATTGGCAAAGCTAAAGTGCTTATCTTGCTAAAAAAAAAAGCTTAAAACTGAACCCCGGGCCTTTCCTTTAGTCTTGCACAGTTGTAGCGGCTCCTCACCTGGACTGAATAAGCATATTGTAAATTTAACTGCAGACTGGGCGCTTCTCATAATGTGCATTAGAAGATGCAGCAAGTCAGATAGAGCCCGCCTCATTTCCTGGCTGGAGGATCCTGGCCCCTTGTTCCTAGCCCACCACTTACAGGTACCTCTTCCGAGAGTGGGGACCAGTCCCGCTCAGCAATCTGTGCTCATGTTGACCCGACCTCTTATAATGAAGAGCCTGAGTAGACCCCATCACTGGGCAGCCAATAGCAAATGTAAACATTACCCAGGAAGTGATGTAAGCACCTGAAGAAGGACCCTACCATGCTGTAAGAAGGACAGCAGACTATACAACCCGGTGCGTCATGTGACTGTTGATTTAGGTCGGTAAAGGGAGCTTTGAGGGTTTTTTTTCCTTTTAACACCCATGACTAGTTGGCCAGGGAGGGGGTGGGAGGGGGGGTTACAGCATTCTTGGAGAAGAGCTCTACG